TTTTTGGCTAAAATTTGCACGCTTCGCAAAAATTCGATAAGTATGTGAATCATCGCAAGTGCACACCCCATACCCAGCTGAGAAGCACTGTGCCAGTTTTAACAGAGTTGTTTGTTTTCTGCTTCTGATCTCAAGCACTTTGCAACTAGTTCCACAACCTTTTGGAGGAGAAGTAGTTTCCAGCCGCGTCGCTCTGTCCGTTGGACTGATCCATGTTTTAGCAGAATACTCATTATAGGGAACAATCGATATACTATGTATGTTTGATCGATTAGGCACTTGAACTCTACTTCCAAAACAGACTCCGTTCTATAGATAAGTGCAAAGAAAGACTTCATTATGAGTAGGAGTGTTTTTTCATCTTTAATTTTTAGAGAGGTGCTAATCGAAGTTCTTGATTGCTTCTCCAATTGTTTTGTGCAAAATGAAAAAAGAAACCTATCATGGAAGCACGTAAAAGACAGACAAAACAGATTTGATAGACGCTTTATCGAAGTTCAACAAACTTTTGGCAAGTGCTAGACATGAGTTCAGTTGGTTTACTTCATCGAAAGCCCTCATATGCTGGCGTTCATTTTTTGTGGTCATAACAAAATAAAACCTTGATACTGTCTGCTCTTTAACAACAGCATGTAGAGTGAAAACTTGTTGCAATAACGAAGAGCACGATTTAAAGATTCCATCCACATGCCAAGCATGAACTAGATATTTCTACCCTCTCACTGAGGTTGCTAATTGAGAAGGAATAGCAACCTTCTTGAGTGTTGCAGAAGCTGACTCAAAAAATTTTTGCCGCCGAAAGGTTCTTAACAGTGAATTGGCTTTTGGTGAACTCGCCGTTGTCTTGCTGGAGTTGTCCACGTAACTTCAGCATAAAAAGGTCCTCAAGGGTTTTGAAGTTGGTTTACTTTTCTTTTATTATTACGTTTCGCTTTGTTTTTTTTTCAGTAACAATTGAGCCAGCGAATCTACTAATGAACGGTTTAGGGTGATGCTTAAAACATCTCACCATGATGTCTGGCCAGTAACGTTGCTGTGTAACGTTGCTGTGTTGTTAGGTAATACGTTTTGTCCGGAAAAAAATTCATGTTTACTGCTTTCACTGATAGCATATTCTAGAGACATTGTTAGAACAATTTATATGGATAAGTTTGGTGCATAAAAAATTTAATTTCAAAATTTAAGGAGGAAGAATGGTCACAATCAAGATAAAAAGGCCCATGCTTATGGTGTTTAATGTTTCAACTTATTGTAAAAGTGATAACCAAATTGAAACCATTTCGAAACGTTGCAAAACCAAAATTTAAACGAAGTCGCCCCACCTGAGTCGTGATGCAATTACCAAGTACAATACAAATTTACAAATAATCGCTTGTTACAGATTGTCGCTTGTTACGAATTTTCAACTGTTATGATTATTCGGCTCAAGTTTCAAAAAATAATCCCATTAAAAAATTTCATTTTACAACCAAACTCACTTTAAAACTACACAATCCATAAATCTCTAAAGTGAATAAGTTATGTTTCATTTGAAGCCTTATTTCTGATGGTAGCATATCTACCACAATTAAATCGCACATAATGATGTTTGCTTGATTACGTTTTCGAGTTGCGCTTTTTTTCTGATAAATAATTTGCTGAAATTAGAAAAAATAGGAGTAAACATCAAATCACAAAAACTATTTCAGTTAATTGCTGTTGCTAAAAAGGTTAAATTACACTTTGCCAAAATAAAAAGAACGTCTAAGTTAAGCAATGAAATATTTAAAAAATATATAGAAGACTTAGAAAACAATTTAGGCATTTATGGGGCTTCTGTTTTAGAACAGTTTTACCCTTACTGCGCCATAAATACGAGCAACATTGAATGGGCATCACTTTAGCGACATAGCAATTGCTATTTTATTTCTCCAAACGTAAACCTAACTGTATAACGTTGATAAACAACATAGATTTTTAATGCAAAAAAGTTTCATAAAACACCGATGGGGACTCATATCACAAATCTTTGAACAAGTTTTCATGAACCGAACCTAACAGCTAAAAATGTTTTACCAGATTGATATAAATTGACCTAACTGATTTTTTTTGTCATATAAATCCAAATAATTCTCTAGCTAGAAAATTAAAAAATTAAATCTTTCAAAAGTTTAATTTCCCAAAAAGAAATTTTTGGTTTTGTTATGAAGAAATTGTTTTTTTAAACATATATATTCATCAAAAAAGATGAATTAAAGTGGAGCATGAGATGAAAATGCAGACAGTGAAGTGATGTGACGACGATCACCCACATTCAAAAAAAGCTAACCATCTTAACTTCTTGTTCGATCATTTTTGACCAGAATATCATACCAACAGAGTAGGGAAAAAGGACGAAATTACATTAAAACACAAAAACTTACTCACATTACTTTTCCCCTTAAACATCGTGGTTTTTTGCTTTAATTTTTAATTTTTTCAAACATTTGGTAAATATTGTTGAATTTAGATGAAAAACCGAAAAAATTTTAAGTGAATAATTAAAAAAACAGAAAAATATTTTTTTCAGTTTTTCCAAAAAGGCTCTCAAGTGAATGATAACCTTAAATTCGTAATTTTGTTAAAAATTTAAATCTAACAACCAATTTTTTAAAAAACCGGAAAACTTAATTAATTTCGAAAAAAGTCTCTAATCAACATTAAAAATTTGGAGCAACTTTGTTTTAATTTTTTCCGGACATTTCCGGAATCATTGCTAAAGTTCATTTCTTCTTTTTGGAAAAATAGCTAAGAAAACTGGAATCTTTTGAAAAAACCAGTTAAAATATTAAATTTTTCTTCTTTTTTTTCCAGAATGTTTCCCACATCAAAAACAACAACGATTGGAAGTAGCGCTACTAGAAACTGCATGCTTTTTGATTTTAAGAACGTCAGAAATGGATCATTTGTGTAAATGAATCATCTGTCATCATGCATCAATTTAAAAACATCCTAAAAGAAAAAACTTTACACCAAAGTTTATTGAGACGACAGGATAAATAAAATTACGGAGAGAAGATGTGCAGATAGTTTTCTGAACAAAATCTTCCAATCTTTGTCGAACAGCTAATCTGGAATCAAGATATTTTGGCCCATCTTGGTCTAGAACAAACTTTAATCATCTTATTCGTCTTATATTAGTAAAATTCATAATTTTGTTGTATGCTCAAATATTGTGAAGTGTTGTTCTGTTGGTGATACTGAGAAACAACTACTACGATCCTTCGCAATTATACAGCATATCAAAAACAAGGCGTTGATCCCAATACAGACCAATGAGTCAAAATTTTTCACGGAATTCAAATACAAAAAATCATAAGGAAAACCTTTCACAGTATTCTAGATTAACCTAGGATATATTGCCCCTGCTCTTTTCCGCGCCGCGCACACCCCTGCCCCAGCCAGTGATCTATCCAAACTTCTACTACTTGCCTTTTAGCATGAGTAACGATTAACATACTTAGGTAAAGAATGCAGTTGACTTGATTGACAGTTCAAGATTTGCAAATAGCGTGCAGTTTTTTGAACGTTTTTTTCTAGGCAAAAATAGTTTGTGCTTTATCCAAAATCTAAATGATTTTGAAGATTAGATGGAATAGTGGATAAAATTATACTGTAACTGAATGAACTCTTAATTACAGCAATTAGAGCAAGCTAATAGACACACTTTCCTATCGCTATGCCCCCTTCAATTTCATCATCAGATGCATAAAGTGTTGATTCAAACTATCCGACAAAACGATCGAATGTGAAATTTAAAAAGCATTTTTCTTAAGTAAGTATCTCAAATAGAGCCTTTCAAGGATATAATTTCTCAATTTTTGTGTAATTTAGTATGTTTTTGTAATGTTTTGTGTGAAATAAATGTTTTTGATTCTGGAAAAAAAACGTTTTTGATTTTGGAAATTGTACTTTTTGTGAAGTATTTTTTGAGGTACATAAGAATCTAATTTTGATTTATTTTTGATCGTTTTCACCCTCCATTTCGGATGAGCATCAATTTTATGGTGTATGAGGACCAAGTATGTTTGCTTTAGCCTAACTATGTCGCATGTCAATTTTCGTAAGAATAGGATAATCAAAAGAAACCTTCTCATCGGATTTTGGTATACATTTTTGATTGACTAAAAGAATCCAAAAAAGACACCTTTTAGGGTAGAAATCAGGGCCAAAATTTTGCAAAATAAAATAAATTACAACAAATCTGCTAAAATTCTATGCAAGTTTCATCTTATCATTTTTTCGTCATAACAAGACTAAATTTGATAAAAACTCGTTTAAAACTTCTGAACTTCTCAATTTTGGTTCATTTAATAAATTAAATTCAGCACTGTACTTCAAAAATCGAATGATTTTTGGTACAAGTTAGCTTGCCCTAATTCGGAATGTTAGCAGGTTTATACGATTGAAACGAGAGTGCTCGTATTCGGACGGTACTTTCAGTTCAGCCTGTAAGTTTTTTTCTTAGAATAGTTGACAAAGTTATCAAAAACAAACACGAAAAGTAAATAAAAACACCGCACCAATCACAAACAAAAACATTGCGTCAAAGTCTTCGAAAAGTGAGGATTTTCAAAAAAATATTGTTGACATTTTTTTAGGTCGACTAATTGGATTTTCTGAGCTCTGCTAAACCAATAAAAAGAACCTGTTTCGGTCAAATTTTCTACGCCGCAGGCAAAATTTTGAAAAAACATGCCAAAAAAATCGTTAAGCGTTTTTGGAAAATTTTTACTAAAAAATTGCGTTTTTTTCGCCGCGCGCTCCCCCATCAAAAGTAGTATATATTGGTGCCAAAGGCGCTTTTAGAAAAATTTCAGGGTCAGTCAGCCAAAAATGGATGTCTCAAAATAGTACAAAAGGGGGACCTTTTGGGTCAGCAATGGGTCGAATCCCTGAGAGGTACGTCCGCCCCTCCCCTAAATCCGCCACTGAAAAGAAAAGAGGAGGAGTTGAATGAATTAATAATGGATGAATATTACCTACGCCACAGCCGAACACAATGACATATCCGACGAGGAGGTAGTAGCTTTTGAAGAGGGGCACGAACATGGTGAAGGCGCCGGCTATCATCAGGGCCACATTGTTCATCATGAGGGGGTCCACCCAGGGGTTGTCGGAGAGGAAGCCGGCTAGGAGTCTGCCGAAGGTGTTGCTCAGACCCAGGATGACCATGAGGGTGGAGCTTTCTGAAAGCAGCACATTCGCCTCCTGTTCTGCATAACTGGCCAGGTAGACGAAGGGGATGAACAGGGCTGCAAATAACCAACACTTTCTCATTCAGCTGCTCCATAAGAGTCTAGCAAAGCAACCAAACAATTGCATACCAGTCTGAAGAACCACACAAAAGCAGATCACTCAGCGTTTTATACCAACCAAACAATTTTCAGAAAGCACACACAAAAGTGGAAGTGGAACCCTAACCCCTCAGTCGCTCTTAGGTGTGTGATAACTAATGAAACTTCCCTTAGTTCTATGTTGTAAAAATAATAAAAATTCCAAGAAATAAATTCAGAATCGTTTTGTTTTCTTTTCTTAGGCACAGATCTACTGGCCTAGTCCATAGCTTCGAATGGTTATCTCTCATTTTATGATCAGTCTTTTTTTAGATCGGCGCAAATGACTTTGACCACTTCAAATCACTAACAATACAATAATATAAATAACTTCAAGGTTACTGCAACTCGACTGGCAAGAAATTCCAGTTTTTCTAAGCAAGCTATTCAAGCTCTGAAACTTTGAAATTTCAAGCTATTTTATAGATCAAAAAATCGGTTCGCGAAAAGTTGAAATTTCCAAATTGTAAGCAAGCAACTCAAGCTAAAAAAAAATTAAAATATTTCAAATTGTTTCCTAGACCGAATCGTAAATCTCTGAAACTTTGAAATAAATAAAGGTTTGCAATGAAAATGTTTACTGAAAGTTTTGATAAAACTCAAGCCTTTCGCAAAACGATACGGTCTATGAAATAGCCTGAAATACTTCGAAGTATTCTGAACACGCTATTCATGTGATGAAACTTTGAATTATCTCAAGTTTCCGCAGAGCAAATCCATTGGCGAAACGTTTGTTTTTCTAGGCAAGCAATGCAAGCGATGAAACTGTGAAATATTTTAAAACATTTCAAAGCGCAAATCGGTTTGCAACAGCTAGTTGTTCTAGCAAGGAGGTTGCTGTTTTTATTTGGTTCGTTTCAGAATCATATCAATCTGAAAAGACCAAAATTTGGGAAAAAACGGACGGGCACTGTCTAGTTTTGAAAAAGAATTGAGTTCATCTTGTCTGAAGAATTGAATTTTTGTCAAAATAATTCTTGAATATTCCAAACTTACGAAAACTTGAAAGTTCTAGAACATTCTTGGCCTTCTCTTAAACGTTAAGCCCAAAGAATTTTTTAAATGTTGCATTTGACAAAGCTAAAACATTGCGTTCAGTTAAACATTGCGTCCATGGAGCATTCCGATTTTCATTTAATGTATAAGATAACTTCAAGGTTACTGCGACCGCAGTACCAGAAGGTGCATAGTGAGAGAAGACTCGTTTTGTTTTTTGAAGAGAATTTTACAATTCTTAAGCCATGTGCTGATTGGACGAAAAAAAAGTAAGCATCAATCAGATTCAATGCATTCAAATCTATTTTGTTGTTCAGAGTTCTTACCCATCATGGTGCAGACAGTTGCAAAAACAAGGAGAGAAAAACTTTTTCTCTTCAACAGGGAGAAGTCCAGCATCTCTTTCAGGGGTCCCAGTACGGCATCTTTTAAATTATCCTCCTCCTCGTCTCCCCCCTCCCCATTCTTCACACTTTCATACTGAGTCACATCAGGTATGGAGTAGTAGCCGTCATTCGAATACACTGTGTGTCGCGAGCGTCCCGGGGACAAGTTGCGTTCGCTCACCACTCGGTTCCGCAGGTCAAGATTGGATGCTCGGAAAGTGTCAATTCGGAAAGTGCTGCGTCTCGTGTTGCCTTCCCGAGGCACTCCTGTTCGAATGTAGCGGCCACCACCGCCGCCTTGTGGCTGCGCAATTTGGGTCCGACTACGATTCGTCTAAAAGATCACTAAACACTGCAACAATTCTTGAGAGTTTCCAATCGGAACCAGCTGTATTTTCAAACCTTTGGCAATCTTTTGTTCGAATATTTGTTTTGGTGCAGTTTTTTTCACAAGTATTGAGGCGTTTGAAAGACACGATCCTTTCTGTTACAACATAATCGATTTTAAAATTTACAAAACACAGCTTACAACTTTTTAAAGAAGATCAGTGCTCCCAAACTTAATATAAAAAGCAAAATATTCGAACAAGGGAATCGCGAAAAAGCCAAAAAACCAAGTATCGTTTCCAAATCCCCCATGTGCCAGCTGCTTACATTCTGTTGTCCATAGTACTCCTCGTGGGTGTCCCACAGATGGCTCACTTCGTAAATGGACCCCACTTGAGCTCCATACCCGTTCATAGTCACCGGAGGCGAGGGTGAGACGGAGTCTGGAACGTGCTGGGACCCAGGGTACTGGAGCATGTTGCCTTGGGATCCCCCGTAGAAGGTGCCTGGCATGTCGTCGTTGTAACTACCTACTAGCAAATCAACGCGGATTTCATTCCTATAAAATGGATCCTTTGGGTCTTTTGAATCTTTCAAAGTCGTTTTCTGGTGTCGCTCTAACCGGTGGCGTCCCTCATGATGGAGGAACCAAGCGTTCGGAACTGATTGTCAGTTTTTTTCAGCCAATCAGAAATGAGTAGTCAAAAATCTCAAAGAAATCGCAAAAAAACCACAGAAGTGAATACAGATGTGCATCCAGGCCATTAAAATTAATATTGACGGATTAAAATAATCAGATACATGAATTTTCCCATATTGCAAGATCGAAGTCGGGTATTGAAAAATTTTTGAACTGATTTTAAAAAATGCAAAAAACAACGAAAATCTGCACCAATTATACAGAAAACTTTGCTGTACCGCTATAAATCATTTTCTGTTAATAATGACTTCGGTCTTGTGCAAAAGCCATTCAGGCAATAGGAACCTCTATCGATTCTGATTGGTTAAAAGAGTTCCATCATTCGGTCCCTCCATCGTGAGAATACCCCCCCCTCCCCCCAATTTAACCCACTCGAACATTATGGCACTTTTCAAATTTTGCGAAGAGCATAAACTGTTTACTTCTCCTCCAATGTATTTATGAGTGGATTATGATTAGAATTTTTGACCAATAAGATTGAGGATGTAGTTATGAGAATAAGTGCTGCTGTTGAGTTACTCCAGAAACAGAACGGAGAAAGAAGACAAATAAAGCCAACCTCTGTTGCCTATGTGAGTAGTGCGGACGGTGGGAGTGTGGTCTACATGGATGGAGTCATCGTCCTCGTCCTTCTTCATCACTCTGAAATCGGCACTTCTGATTGGTCGGAACAGTGTGCCCATGGCCACCATGTTCAGAATGAGTCCCACTATGATCCAGACGACGCCTCGCCAATCGTAGCGTGAGAAGAGGAACACGACCACTTTGGACATGACCGAGGCGCCCACGCCTGACCCGGACACTATGAAGCCCATGGCGGTGCCTCTCTTGGCCTGGAACCAGTGACTGGCCACCACTATCGAGGGCAGGTACACCAGACCGAAGCCACACCCTGTACACAACAAGCAGAAGTCACAACAACAACAACTACTACTTTGCTTAGCTGTGGTGACCAACCAAAAAAATTGCCGAAGTTCAAACGAATTGTTGATGAGACGACCTTCAGTTAACATCATTTTTTTACTGGATCAAAAATAATTGACTAAATAAAAATCCTAATATATTTGAAATTACTCGCTCTTTTTGCTCTTTTTAAATATTGAGCTACACGTCAGATAGACACAAGTTAAGGTTTTTTTAAAAAAAGATAATTGTTTAATTTGCTAACTAACAGTCATTTATGGTTTCCAAGTTAAACTCAAGCCTCTGCGCGGCATTCGCTCCCCAACCCTTACTTCACGGGTCTCTTCAGCTCCCCCACGTTAAACAATTGTAATGGTATCTCTTCAAAAATAACTACCCCTATTAAGAACCAAGTCAATGGTTGAGTAGCATATGCGGATTTTGTACCCCCGATGACTCCCCAGCAGAGGATGAAGTAGTTGATGGAGGGTGCGATGGTGGACAGGATGAAGCCAACTGAGGCCATGATGGACCCCAACACTGTGATACCCCTGGCGCCATATTGGTTCTCCAGGGCACTGCTCACCGGACCTACAACACAAAAATACACATGCACAACACACTAATATACACACATATACATATAGGGAATAGTAAACCATCCGATTCAAAAAAGTTAGCAAACAGCATGATAAAATTTTTACCTGATTTTCAGCTAGCGCTCAGCTATCTACAATGGATGTCTATTGGCGTCCAAGTACAACGCAACCTTATGAAGAAATTGTTAGTTGCACAAAAATTGTATAAGGATTCAGGCCTAGATCAACTAGGGTTAAAGGGATGGGGTTAGAGAATGAGATTTGATTGGACGTTTCAACTGAGGACAAAAAAGGGAGGTGATTGAAGGAGAAGAAATAAACAAAGAAAAAAATTAGTTGTTAAACTGAACATCACAAAAACACAAGTTACATTGTTGCCGATTATTTTGTTAATTTATGATACCCACCTGATCTTGTCTCAGTTTAATGAGTTTTAATGAAGTTTAACTCCATCCAGATTCTATAAAATTAATCTGTTTTTGATCTGTTTGACCTTGCAACAATCTGACCTCAGCACTCCCGCACCGAGCGCCCATGGATTCTAATCGATTATAATGGATTCCCGAGACAAAAATAATCGATTATAATCCATTACGGATGTAAAATTCAGACCACGAAATCGATTATATTGCCATTATAATCGATTATTTTTGAGAAAAAATAATCCATTATAATCGATTATAATCGATTATAATCCATTATTTTTGTCACTGAAATCGATTATTTTGTCAAGAAAATCCATTATAATCCATTATTTATGAGGTTAAAAAATCCATTATAATCCATTATAATCGATTATAATCGATTATTTATGAGGTAAAAAAATCCATTATAATCCATTATAATCCATTTTAGTTAGCTATTTCAGCGATTCTATTTTTAGTTCTAATTATGCCTGGAAGAAAAAAAGCAAGTTTAAAGATGTAAAATTACAAAACTGCAAATATACGACCGCTTGGTCCAATATCAGCATGTATCCCATCAATGTTGGACAACGTTGATCCACCTTAAACTTGCTCAGAGTTTTCGTTAACTAGTCGAGTTAATTGTTTTTGATGGGACAACACTAAGTGCGACAGTCCCATCGTCAATTCGTTCTCGGACAGATTGTTGCTTCGTTTGCTTCTGGAATACAGGATTCTCGCACATCTTAATGCAGCCCTGGTTGTCTTCGTTAATGACTGTCAGCAGGTCAGGCACTCATAAAACTCATCTCACTGAGGAGTGATTGTAGATGAGGAGCCTCTCAAATAGCTCCAGTTTCATTTGTAGATATGGACGCAGTTGGTTGCTGAATAGTGCCCCAGCTGGGTGTTGCCCCTTTTTCTGCAAAAAAAGCGACAGGCAATAGTTCACAAGTATCCATACCTCCACCCTAGTCAACATCTGCAGATCCATATAGCTCGAAGCCGTGAACTTCCTTAATATAGCACAGCTAATGATTTTTGCCTCCTTTTAGATATCGAAGTAACCATTTGGCAGCCATTAGGCTAGGATTTTTTGGACAGCGGGAGAGATGACTCAGATTGCCACTTTAGTCCTCATTTTTCATTAAGACTACTTCTGCTGGCCCTCCTTTAGATCAGCCCTTCTTCGATAATGATGAGCTGATATCCGCTGGATATTTGCTGATTTGCAGTCGGCTAAACCGAAGCGCTCCAAATTTTGTCATTGTTGATTCGTTGTTACGCAGTTACTTAGCCAGATGACCGCTTGATCTAGAATCCCACAATTCCAGGAACCAATACAATGGATTTTGTCATGCAGTCGGAATATCGACCCTCGTATTTGCGACTTCATGTTATCGCCTGCACCTAATGATGACAAAGCCAATAGTATCGTCTTCGTTTCGGGTTCGCAGGTCGGAGCAAACTTCTTTTTGAAGTCTAATCATGCAGCTCGCACAAACAGTTGGTTAAATACATTGCTTCGCACGGCTTTGGTTTTCCTGTTGCATCTTTGCTTACAACAAGAGCTCTCTTAGATCAATGACTTGTCTTGCTCGATTGTGTTCTAACAACAAAAGTGCATGTCCTCATTGATTTTTTCCGCCGCTAAAGCCTAAAGTCTGAAAAGTTTCTGGGCTCTTGTATTCTGATCGTTGAAACATGGTCGTAATCCAGTTCGTATGAATGGGTGAGTTCCGCGTCATTGCTGACCTTTGCGTTGTACGCTCAAAAATGGTTCATATGCTTCCTGCTTGTCCAAGTCCTCTTGACCGGCCCCCACTGAAATTCACTATCAACTGCACTACCAATCAGAAATTGGTTCTCGCCGCGCTGGCTTTCTAAAAATCATTTCAACCCTCGAATGTAGCCGTAGGGCTTGCGATAGCATAATGTCAAACAAGAAGTCGTAAAGAACGATATCATCATGGAAAGTCACGATCCTTGATCGCACCGCTCCTCTTGTCTCTACCCGCATCCAGTTTCAAGCGTTAATAATCGATTATATTACGATTTTAGTACCAGTCTCACTATAATTGAGAAACAATCAATTTTAATCAATTAATAATCGTATATAATCTCTCTTTTTAAATTCAAATTATAATTAACTATAATCCATTATAATCGATTATAATCGATTATTTATTCGTCTATTTTTTGATACAATTATAATCGATTATAATTGATTATAATCCATTATTTTTATTCAAATTTCTATTTTATTAGTTTTGCACAAAAATCCATTATAATTGATTATAATTGATTATAATCCCTTTTGTTTGTCCATTTTTGTCTTCGAAGTTGCATCTAAATTGCGTATATTTTATGCTTTTTGTGTACGTTGGTTCCTATGAAAAATGAGAAAAATGTTTTTAAAGTTTTCCAATTAATTCAAATTTATAAGTTTTTTTTTCATTTTTTCCCCATTAGAGTTGTTTTGTGATGCATATTTTAAGCTTTTTTAAACACCAAAACATCAGCAGATTGATTTAGTTTCATGATTGATTCGGAAAATTTATTTATCATCTACCGCGAGAACCTTTCCACTCATATGAAAGGATCTCTATGAAACTTTTGTTTCGTGGTATAACTTTATGTTCAGATGAACCAAAGTGTTCAAGAGATCTCTCTTTCAGAGATTTTTTATTGACACAAAAAAATAACCCATAAGATATATTTCGAATAAAAGAAAATTTCGGCAAAATAAGAGATTATAATCGATTATAATCGATTATAATTGATTGTAAGGGTTTTTAGTAAGAACTATAATCAATTATAATCAAATATAATCGATTATAAGAGTTAATAATCTCTTGGAAAATATCACGATTATAATCAATTATAAATCCCTTAAAGACCTAATTTTGGTAATTATAATCGATTATAATTGTCAAAAAATCATCATAATAATCCGTTATAATCGATTATTTACGCCTAAACTTGGATGCGGGTAGATCCATCAACAAATAGGCTTTGTTTTTCTCAACCTAGCCGTTGAAAATATATTTTTTTACTGTTTGGGTCTAGTTGCCGGCTAATGCGTTGGTCCAGATACTACGCCAGGCATCCGAGACACAAAACTTAGCACATTTTTGGCAGCGACTCAGAGTTAGAACTAGAAATGACGGGTTGGGACTTGAGACTGGGATTATATCGCCATATTGCTTCACAGGTAGCTGCCCATCATCTGATTCGAATAGATGAGAAGCAGCTGCGGCAAAACTGAAGCATGAAGCTCCCCTTAATGCAACCATGAGACGTTCTCGCTTATCAGGTTTAGGCTGTAGTTAAGCAAAAACAGCGGGTTACGAAATTGTAGCCCCTCACATCATCTCGCCCACACTTGGAAAGTTCTAAGGTCTTCGCACCTGATGCACATGCCGGGTTGGACCCACTGCTTTGAGCACAAGGTTGACCACTGTTACATCTCAACTTGCAGTGCAGTCGGGTCGGGTCATATACCCCTTCCTGCGCAAATAGCAAATTTTACTTGAGACTCCTGTCTTCCTCGCAGCTTGCATGAGCACAGTCCTTTCTTCACAACGAGTCTTCCCCGGGTTTTCGCAGTTCCTCAAACTCCCAGCTCTAGAAACGTGTCAGCTGGTTCAAAGCTCTCCAACATCACAAAATGGTCATTCATGATAGGCAGCCCATTGGGCACCACAGCATTGAAGAGTGGGGTGGTTATTTTTTCTATAAAACTTGGGTCATCAGCACTTGGCTTAGACCGAAGTAGTTATCGAGAACCTCCTCTGACCCTAGGCGCAGTTTTGCGCACTGGTTCACTATACTTCTTTGCACTGTAATTTTCTCTTGGAGCACTATGAGGAATTACACTTCATCCAAATGACGTAGCCGTTCGTTCCCGAGCAGTCGTTCTTCAACAGGTCAATGTGGTTGTGCTTAGAACCGCACAAGGTTTCAATTTTCTTGCTTCTGCTTGATCATTTCTGCCTGATGATGCAACTTGATGGTGTAGGCTATGCACTGCTCAACTTTTAGTTTCTAGGGGAGAGTGGGTTTTGCCCTTGGCAGATGCAGATTGTTTTTGCCCGTTACTTTAGTGAACATGCTCTTACTTTGCACCAGCGCCACAATATTCGCCGACGATTCTTGACAATTTTCATACTTCAATCGAATGCCGCCAGTTTCAAGTCCATCATTGCTAAAGGCTACTAACTATAAGCTGCAAACTCTGATAGAAAGTTAATTGGGCAAAACCTGGGCCATAACTTGCTTGCATTCAGAGGTAGATCAACAAGGTTTAAGGAGTCGAAGTTAGAAACTGAGATTAGATCTGAAAGTTTCAATTGAGAATAAAAAAATGAGAAAGGGGATTAAGTTGACTTCGCAAGCTGAGCATCACAAAAGTACCAGTTGTGTAATTTGCGACCAATTACTGTGTTTATGATCACCAGTTGAGATTTCTGAGTTTGATGAAATCTAGCATATGCTCTTCACTCAAACTGTCTTTGATCTGTGAGACCTGGGATTAGTCTGACCTCAACAACTTGAATGAAAATCATGATGAAGATAGAAAAACGTA